TTGAGGATCGTTTTAGGCCGAGTCGACTTAAGGGAGGAGCGGGGAGCGGGGAGGGCCCAGCGAACGGTTCAGATTAATCATCACCGATGGTGGGCGAGATGGCGGAGTCGAACTGGGGTGGCCTGGGCTCGACACCAGGGACCGCGGGGGGCTCACAGTTGGGGTTGACTGGAGGGAGGAGTTGAGGGGGGGGGGTGTTGCGGCGTGCGATCCCAACTGGGTGATTTGCGGTGCGATTAATTTTGATTTTTTATCCGACAACTTTTTGATGGTGACAGAGGCAGCCGGCGGCCGCCACCCTCCCTCCTTCCTCCTCTCGGTTGCATTGGGGGATCTCGTAACGCCCGCTGCCATCTCTACGAATCTCTGTGTAACGCTGTGGATCTCAATGTAACTCTTTGAATCTCTGCGTAACGATGTGGATCTCAATGTGACTCTCTGAATCTCTGTGTAACGATGTGGATCTCAATGTAACTCTCTGAATCTCTGCGTAACGATGTGGATCTCAATGTGACTCTCTGATTCTCTGTGTAACGATGTGGATCTCAATGTAACTCTCTGATTCTCTGTGTAACGATGTGGATCTCAATGTGACTCTGAATCTCTGTGTAACGATGTGGATCTCAATGTGACTCTCTGAATCTCTGTGTAACGATGTGGATCTCAATGTAACTCTCTGATTCTCTGTGTAACGATGTGGATCTCAATGTAACTCTCTGATTCTCTGTGTAACGATGTGGATCTCAATGTAACGCTCTGAATCTCTGTGTAACGATGTGGATCTCAATGTAACTCTCTGAATCTCTGTGTAACTCTGTGGATCTCAATGTAACTCTCTGAATCTCTATGTAACGATGTGGATCTCAATGTAACTCTCTGAATCTCTGTGTAACGCTGTGGATCTCAATGTAACTCTCTGAATCTCTGTATAACTCTGTGGATCTCAATGTAACTCTTTGAATCTCTGTGTAACGCTGTGGATCTCAATGTAACTATTACTCTCTGTGTAACGCTGTGGATCTCAATGTAACTCTCTGAATCTCTGTGTAACGCTGTGGATCTCAATGTGACTCTCTGAATCTCTGTGTAACGATGTGGATCTCAATGTAACTCTCTGAATCTCTGTGTAACGATGTGGATCTCAATGTAACTCTCTGAATCTCTGTGTAACCCTGTGGATCTCAATGTAACTCTCTGATTCTCTGTGTAACGATGTGGATCTCAATGTGACTCTCTGAATCTCTATGTAACGATGTGGATCTCAATGTAACTCTCTGAATCTCTGTGTAACGCTGTGGATCTCAATGTAACTCTATTACTCTCTGTGTAACGATGTGGATCTCAATGTAACTCTCTGAATCTCTGTGTAACGCTGTAGTAGTCGTCGTTACTCACAGTAGTCGTTGTTACTCACAGTAGTAGTCGTTGTTACTCACAGTAGTCGTTGTTACTCACAGTAGTCGTTGTTACTCACAGTAGTAGTCGTTGTTACTCACAGTAGTCGTTGTTACTCACAGTAGTCGTCGTTACTCACAGTAGTCGTTGTTACTCACAGTAGTCGTTGTTACTCACAGTAGTCGTTGTTACTCACAGCAGTCGTTGTTACTCACAGTAGTAGTCGTTACTCACAGTAGTCGTTGTTACTCACAGTAGTCGTTGTTGCTCACAGTAGTCGTTGTTGCTCACAGCAGTCGTTGTTACTCACAGCAGTCGTTGTTACTCACAGTAGTCGTTGTTACTCACAGTAGTCGTTGTTACAGTAGTCGTTGTTACTCACAGTAGTCGTTGTTACTCACAGTAGTAGTCGTTGTTACTCACAGTAGTCGTTGTTACTCACAGTAGTCGTTGTTACTCACAGTAGTAGTCGTTGTTACTCACAGTAGTCGTTGTTACTCACAGTAGTAGTCGTTGTTACTCACAGTAGTCGTTGTTACTCACAGTAGTCGTTGTTACTCACAGCAGTCGTTGTTACTCACAGTAGTCGTTGTTACTCACAGTAGTCGTTGTTGCTCACAGTAGTCGTTGTTGCTCACAGCAGTCGTTGTTACTCACAGCAGTCGTTGTTACTTACAGTAGTCGTTGTTACTCACAGTAGTCGTTGTTACAGTAGTCGTTGTTACTCACAGTAGTCGTTGTTACAGTAGTCGTTGTTACTCACAGTAGTCGTTACTCACAGTAGTCGTTGTTACAGTAGTCGTTGTTGCTCACAGTAGTCGTTGTTACTCACAGTAGTCGTTGTTACTCACAGTAGTCGTTGTTGCTCACAGTAGTTGTTACTCACAGTAGTCGTTGTTACTCACAGTAGTCGTTGTTACTCTCAGTAGTCGTTGTTACAGTAGTCGTTGTTACAGTAGTCGTTGTTACTCACAGTAGTCGTTGTTGCTCACAGTAGTCGTTGTTACTCACAGTAGTCGTCGTTACTCTCAGTAGTCGTTGTTACAGTAGTCGTTGTTACAGTAGTCGTTGTTACAGTAGTCGTTGTTACTCACAGCAGTCGTTGTTACTCACAGCAGTCGTTGTTACTCACAGTAGTAGTCGTCATCACTCACAGTAGTTGTTGTCACTCACAGCACCCTGAGTACAGGGGCTCCTGTGCTAATAATGTGGGAGCCAGAGGACATCCCTGTCGCAAACCCCAGGGTGAACGTGGAATGGCTCCGACTCTCGGCCGTTCGCAGCTTTGCCTCTCCCCCCCCCCCACCCGGTACCTGCCCACCATCGTGAAGGCCCTTACTGATGGTGAGCCGTTCAGTTTTCCTTGATTAGGTCTAACCCTGTGAGCCATGCGGCTCTTGACTCGGGCGCAACCGCAACAAAACGAAAACACGAACGAGAAACATCTGAAAGTGACTATGCGCAAACGGAAAAATCCCTGGGGGAAAAAAACAGCAAAAGTCTTCCATGAAAATCACCGCATTTCAACGCTGTGTGCAAAGATCCCAGTGGGATGCAAGTCAAACAATAACAACCATGAGACAATTTAGATTCAAGTTATCCGGCTAACTCTGCGCTACAACAAACAAACATGGCTAAACCAAACCGTTTTCAAAATCACCAAAATAAAGCTATAAAAACAACGTAACAGTGATTATAGGAACTGTGATTCAAATTTAACAATAAACGATGTACATAACATTCACGACCAAACTTTGCAGCCATGGCTGGCTGCATGGGTCACTCCATAAACAGCAGGAGTATCAGTAGCAGCATCAACATCTTTCAATACACCTTTAAAGATCAGCACACTTTAATCAAAACTCCAGATCGTACTTTGCCGCGGTCATCTGGAATGATACATTTCATTTCAGGCCATTCTGAATAGAGAGTCGGGGACTCCGAAAGCACGGAGGGGCATCCCGGAGCCGCGGGCCTGCTGGTGGTATCGCGTAGTGCCCTGAGCGTGTCAATGAAGCGGAGATCCCGGTCTCGTTGGAATTCCCTTACGCCTCTGCTGCAGCAGGCGAACGCCGCGGCACTGTGTGGGAGACGTTTTGGGCAAATGGCCACGTAAGTTGGCGGGTCAGGGGGGGGATGTGGGCTTTTTGTACAGAGAGTATTAGCGGATCATAGGCTAAAAGCCTGGCTCAATAAATTGCCACTACCCCGTGAAAGAGCACTCAAGGTTGAATGGCAGTGCATTATCATTCACATCAAAGCTCTCTCTCTCTCCCTCTCTCCATCTCTCTCTCTCTTTCCCCCTCTCTCCCTCTAGCTCCCTCCTCCCCGCAGCGTCCGCTGGGGATCGAGCGTTGCGCGCCTCTCGCGTCGACGTTTCTTTATCTCTTCATTATTTACCCGCTCGTCCACCCCCACCGCTGCTACCCCCACCCCCAGCGCGAGAGGGACGAAGAACAAAGCCGCATTCGCACAATTGGAGATGAACCACAACGTGACGCGCGTTCCAGGAGACGCGGCCCTCACTGCAATTTCGACCATTCGAGTCGCCGCAACGCGTCCCCCGGACCACCTCGCTCGGGGGTGATGCATTTACTCATTGCACCCCCCCCCCTCCCCCCCTCTCCTCCGTGACCTTTGCCTCACCGGGATGGAGGGCGTGGTGGTGCCGCCCGGGGCATTCTTGGCACGGGCAGCGGTGCAAAGATCGCGATCGCTAACGCCTGTGCCGCCCAGCCATCGTGCGCCAAACGACGCCGGGCGTGCTCGATCCGCTGCTGGATGAAGGCGGCTGCCCCCATGCTCCCGCCCCCGCCCCCGCCACCTCCTGCCGGTCGTCGTCATCTGCCGCGAGACGATTTTTGGTCGCTCCGTCTCCACGGTGTGGGCGTTCCCGTCGAGATGCGGCTCCGCCCCCTCGCCGCCGAGAGACGCCGCGGGTGGGCGACGTGCGGTGACGGCGCGTCGCCCACACGCATGTACCGACTGACGTCACGCACGTGTGCGGTGAACGAGCGGAGACGCACGTGTGTGACGCGGTGAAGGAGCGGAGACACAACGTGGTTGATGTAGTCCACGAGTGGAGACGTGCGTTTGTGACGCGGTGAAGGAGCGGAGACGTGCGTGGGTGACGCGGTGCAGGAGCGGAGACACAATGTGGTTGATGTAGTGAACGAGTGGAGATGTGCGTGGTGACGCGGTGAAGGAGCGGAGACACAACGTGGCTGATGTAGTCAACGAGTGGAGACGTGCGTTTGTGACGCGGTGAAGGAGCGGAGACGTGCGTGGGTGACGCGGTGAATGAGCGTCACACGTGCGCGGTGAACAAACCGTTCACCACGCCCCGTGGTCCTACTTGACCCCGGGCCAAGTTCAGATGTCTTGAGTGTGAGGTCAACGGTTCACGGGTCGGTTCCGGCACGGCTTGGCAAAACAGCCAGTGGGGACAAACCACCCTTAACCATGCCGGCACCACCCCGGCCACGGTTCGTTTGTCGCCAGCGGCGGGGAAAACGTGGCCCGCGTAAATCCGTGCGACGCGTGGAAGAGCGCGGCTTCCTTCAGCGAGCAGCACTTGCCGATTGTTTCGCCGTTTCCCGTGCCAGATCATCGCGTACCAGCCGTACGGGAAGTCCGTGGACTGGTGGGCGTTCGGCGTCCTGCTGTACGAGATGCTGGCCGGACAGGTGAGTTCCGCCGCCCTTCGTCTCGGTAATTCTTTTTTTACTCGCTCAGCCGCGAAACCCCCGGGAGAGCGGCCTACTGAGGCCCCGTCAAGCTCGGCAGCTCCGGTTTGTTTACAAAGGACGACCGACAGCTCAGGACATCGGCGGCAGTTACAGGGTATTGGAGTTTGCAGAGTCACATAGAGATCCATGGAGGTGAATGGAGTCACATCGTGAGCCAGAGAGACTCGTGGCGTTGACGTAGATGTCGCTTAGTGATCCATCGAGTCGCACAAAGTTACGTATGGATGTGTGTGTGTATGTTAAACGTCTTGCGCACCGTATGTAGCCAACCGTGCTCTGTGTGTGTGTGTGTTTTAAACTTCTTATGCACCATACGTAGCCAACGAAATTAGTTGTTTTTTTAACGTGGTATCGTGGTGTAGTGTTTCGTAGTGTACACTAAAGTAGTGCGATGTATAGTGTCTTGTGTAGCAGTGAATTGTGTCGTGGTACAATCGGGTTGCGTGAATGTGTGTCGGACTTCTATCGCGCCACCGGAGGAGTATCGGAACGGGGGCAAATTCAGTCGGGTGTTTTTTTTTTCTCTCTTCGTTTGACGATTTGCGTAGCCGCCGTTCGACGGGGAGGATGAGGACGAGCTGTTCCAGTCCATCATGGAGCACAACGTCTCCTACCCCAAGTCCATGTCCAAGGAGTCCATCTCCATCTGCAAGGGGGTGAGCCTGAATCGGAGTTGTCACGATCATCACCATGGTCATCACCACTGCCATCATCACGAACCATCATCAAGATCATCACGATCATCACCAACATCGCGATCATCGCCATCAGCACCATCATCTCGATTATCACGACCATCACGATCATCACGACCATCACGATCATCACGACCATCACGATCATCACGACCATCACGATCATCACTATCATCACGACCATCATCACGGCCATCACCACGACCATCAGGATCATCATCCCGATCACCACGATCATCACGACCATCATCACGACCATGACGACCATCATCATCCCGATCACCACGATCATTATGATCATCATCACGACCATCATCAGGACCATCACGATTATCATCACGACCATCACCGCCATCGCCATCATCGCCATCATCGCCATCATCACCATCATCACGACCATCACGATCATCATGACCATCACGATCATCACTATCATCACGACCATCATCACGACCATCATCACGGCCATCACCACGACCATCAGGATCATCATCCCGATCACCACGATCATCACGACCATCATCACGACCATGACGACCATCATCATCCTGATCACCACGATAATCATGATCATAATCACGACCATCACCACGACCATCACGACCATCATCATCATCATCCCGATCACCACGATCATCACGACCATCATCACGACCATGACGACCATCATCACCCTGATCACCACGATCATCACGACCATCACCACGACCATGACGACCATCATCATCCCGATCACCACGATCATCATGATCATCATCACGACCATCACCACCATCGCCATCATCGCCATCATCGCCATCATCGCGATCATCATTATCACGATCATCATCACGACCATCACGATCATCATGATCATCACCATCATCATCACGATCATCATCGCTATCATCGCGATCTGTGGGCAGAGAGCCCGTATTTCCCGCACCGATCTATTTTGATTTCGCTTGTCGAGAAATTCTCTGTTCAGAGTCTTTCCTCTCACGCGACCACGGGGAGAGAGAGAGACGCAAACTGCAAATACACAGCAGACGTCGGGTAGGGATCAAACCTACGACCTCCTGCATACCAGGCGAGGTAGTTACCATTTCCTAGCCACCGGTGGCGTGCGGCTAGATTCTGAGCGCTAGTCTCTGCGACGAGCAGCCAATCCAAGCCACCTCCGGGCCTGCGTACCCCCTACCCCCCCCCCCTCTAGAGACAGGGGGGCAGGGCACGCCCCACCCCCCCCCATCCCCCGCTTTGCACGATTCGAATCTCGCCGCGGCATCTCACGGCGGTGCGAGCGACGGAGCATTTAATGGAGACTGCCGAGCGGCCGAGGGACGCTTATCTCTCGCCCCCGCCCGCCCGCCCGCCCGCTCCCGCAATCGCGAGCGGAGCGCGCCGGAGTGAGAGGCCCGGAGCGCCGGTGCTGGCTCTTATCTCTAAAATTTCCTTTCTTCTTAAATTGCCTCGTGCCGACACATCCACCCCCCCGTCTGAACGCTATCCGCCTGTGATCTGCCAATTGTGAAACTCCGGGTCCGGCGTTCCCTCGTCATTCGCGAGCGATGGACAACCGTCGTCGCCGCGCGCTCGTCCTTGGCGAGCTTAATTATTCGATTAATGAATCGATTAGTTTGTCAATTAGATAATTGATTAATTTGTTAATTGACTAATTCCCACCTCTCTGCCCCACCCCCATGGTACTTTAAAAAAATAATCGAATTCTTTACGCCCCCTGTACCCCGCCAAGATTGTTTCAGCAATTTCATGCGAGCCCGATGAGTAGTCCACTCGCTCCACCAGGGTACGCGTGGTTGTATTGTGGTAGCTGAGTGGAGTAGTCCACTCGCTCCACCAGGGTACGCGTGGTTGTATTGTGGTAGCTGAGATGAGTAGTCCACTCGCTCCACCAGGGTACGCGTGGTTGTATTGTGGTAGCTGAGTGGAGTAGTCCACTCGCTCCACCAGGGTACGTGTGGTTGTATTGTGGTAGCTGAGTGGAGTAGTCCACTCGCTCCACCAGGGTATGCGTGGTTGTATTGGGGTAGCTGAGTGGAGTAGTCCACTCGCTCCACCATGGTACGTGTGGTTGTATCGGGGTAGCTGAGTGGGGTAGTCCACTCGCTCCACCAGGGTACGCGTGGTTGTATTGTGGTAGCTGAGTGGAGTAGTCCACTCGCTCCACCAGGGTACGCGTGGTTGTATCGGGGTAGCTGAGTGGAGTAGTCCACTCGCTCCACCAGGGTACGCGTGGTTGTATCGGGGTAGCTGAGTGGAGTAGTCCACTCGCTCCACCTGGGTACGTGTGGTTGTATCGTGGTAGCTGAGTGGAGTAGTCCACTCGCTCCACCAGGGTACGCGTGGTTGTAATGGGGTAGATTTGACGCGGCCATCAGCGGCCAGGTCCACAGCATGCCGCGTGTGCCCGGCCGCCAACCCTCGTGTGGTGGCTGTGTGACGGTCGATGGCAAATGTCAATGGCTTTGGCCGCACGCACTTTAATTAATTGGCAATTTAGCTGTGCCGTGCGTCTTGCGAGTGGATTTTTTTTTGTTTTCCAGGCCGTGTGTTTGTTTGTTTGTTCTTTATTTATTTCTCGTGCCCGTTGGTTGCAATCACGACGAGCGTAATGGTTACCATCGCGGCCGTTACCATCGCGGCCGTTACCATCGCGGCCGTTACCATCGCGGCCGTTGCCAACGCGACCGTTGCCAACGCGACCGTCACCCAGTGCGGCCGTTGCCATCGCGACCATTGTCAGCGCGACCGTTGCCAACGCGACCGTTGCCAACGCGACCGTTGCCATCGCGGCCGTTACCAGCGCTGGTTTGGCCATTACCACCCCTGGGACACATCACCGCTGGGCCACGTTATCGGCAGGACTCCATCACGACGTCCGCGCGACGGTGCCGTACGTCGATCGTTTACCTCGTCCTCGTTGTCGTTGTTTCCTCTCCCGCCCCCCCCCCCCCCCCGCCCCCCCCCCGCCCCCCACCCGTGGCGCGCTGTGACCCCAGTTCCTGACCAAGCACCCGGGCAAGCGGCTGGGCTGTGGGCCTGAGGGCGAGCGAGACATTCGCGAGCATGCCTTCTTCCGGCGCATCGACTGGGAGAGGCTGGAGCGACGCGAGATCCAGCCGCCCTTCAAGCCCAAGACGGTGAGTGGCAAAGGCAGCCCCGACACCACGGCTCGACAATATAAACATTTATTATTTTATTATTATATTCCCCCCCCCCCCATATATTATTATTTTTTCCCTTTTCCCGGGTTTACCTGAGCAGTGAATCAAAGGCCCAAAACGTCACGCTGCCAAGCGGACAGTGACAAACGGCACCATTGTGTTTTGTAGTTTATTCACTTACTGACCACCAGAACCCAGTTTAATCACGACTGTGTGAGTCTTTCAGTCCCTGTGTGAAACTATGGGTCAATGTGAGTCTTTCAGTCCCTGTGTGAAACTATGGGTCAATGTGAGTCTATGAGTGTCTGTGTGAGTCTTTCAGTCCGTGTGTGAAACTATGGGTCAATGTGAGTCTGAGTCTCTGTGTGAGCCTTTCAGTCCCTGTGTGAAACTATGGGTCAATGCGAGTCTATGAGTCTCTGTGTGAGTCTTTCAGTCCCTGTGTGAAACTACGGGTCAATGTGAGTCTATGAGTCTCTGTGTGAGTCTTTCAGTCTCTGTGTGAAACTATGGGTCAATGCGAGTCTATGAGTCTCTGTGTGAGTCTTTCAGTCTCTGTGTGAAACTATGGGTCAATGTGAGTTTGAGTCTCTGTGTGAGTCTTTCAGTCTCTGTGTGAAACTATGGGTCAATGTGAGTCTGAGTCTCTGTGTGAGTCTTTCAGTCTCTGTGTGAAACTATGGGTCAAAGTGAGTCTATGAGTCTCTGTGTGAGTCTTTCAGTCCCTTTGTGAAACTACGGGTCAATGTGAGTTTGAGTCTCTGTGTGAGTCTTTCAGTCTCTGTGTGAAACTATGGGTCAAAGTGAGTCTGAGTCTCTGTGTCAGTCTTTCAGTCTCTGTGTGAAAGTACGGGTCAATGTGAGTCTATGAGTCTCTGTGTGAGTCTTTCAGTCCGTGTGTGAAACTATGGGTCAATGTGAGTCTATGAGTCTCTGTGTGAGTCTTTCAGTCCCTGTGTGAAACTACGGGTCAATGTGAGTCTATGAGTCTCTGTGTGAGTATTTCAGTCCCTGTGTGATACTATGGGTCAATGTGAGTCTGAGTCTCTGTGTGAGTCTTTCAGTCCCTGTGTGAAACTATGGGTCAATGTGAGTCTGAGTCTCTGTGTGAGTCTTTCAGTCCCTGTGTGAAACTATGGGTCAATGTGAGTTTGAGTCTCTGTGTGAGTCTTTCAGTCCCTGTGTGATACTATGGGTCAATGTGAGTCTGAGTCTCTGTGTGAGTCTTTCAGTCCCTGTGTGAAACTATGGGTCAATGTGAGTCTATGAGTCTCTGTGTGAGTCTTTCAGTCCCTGTGTGAAACTATGGGTCAATGTGAGTCTATGAGTCTCTGTGTGAGTCTTTCAGTCCCTGTGTGAAACTATGGGTCAATGTGAGTCTGAGTCTCTGTGTGAGTCTTTCAGTCCCTGTGTGAAACTACGGGTCAATGTAAGTCTATGAGTCTCTGTGTGAGTCTTTCAGTCCCTGTGTGAAACTACGGGTCAATGTGAGTCTATGAGTCTCTGTGTGAGTCTTTCAGTCCCTGTGTGAAACTATGGGTCAATGTGAGTCTATGAGTCTCTGTGTGAGTCTTTCAGTCCCTGTGTGAAACTATGGGTCAATGTGAGTCTGAGTCTCTGTGTGAGTCTTTCAGTCCCTGTGTGAAACTACGGGTCAATGTAAGTCTATGAGTCTCTGTGTGAATCTTTCAGTCCCTGTGTGAAACTACGGGTCAATGTGAGTCTATGAGTCTCTGTGTGAGTCTTTCAGTCCGTGTGTGAAACTATGGGTCAATGTGAGTCTATGAGTCTCTGTGTGAAACTATGGGTCAATGTGAGTTTGAGTCTTTGTGTGAGTCTTTCAGTCTCTGTGTGAAACTATGGGTCAATGTGAGTTTGAGTGTCTGTGTGAGTCTTTCAGTCTCTGTGTGAAACTATGGGTCAATGTGAGTTTGAGTGTCTGTGTGAGTCCTTCAGTCCCTGTGTGATACTATTGGTCAATGTGAGTCTATGCGTCTCTGTGTGAGTCTTTCAGTCCCTGTGTGAAACTACGGGTCAATGTGAGTCTATGAGTCTCTGTGTGAATCTTTCAGTCTCTATGTGAGTCTAGGGGGGTCTCTTTGTGAGTGAAAGTGTCTATGTGAGGCTATACGTCTCTATAAGAGTCTATAGGTCTTTGTTTGAGTCTATAGGGCTCTATATGACTCTGGGTCTTTTTGTGAGTCTATGGGTTTCTTTGTGAGTTAAGTGTATTTCTGTGAGTCTTTCGGCCTCTACACGAATCTATAGGTCTCTGTTTAAGTCTATAGGTCTCTATGTGAGTCTACAGTGATCCCCTGCTGATTTTGTATGTTTGCCCACTGACAAAGTAATGATCAGTCTTTAATTTTAATGGTAGGTTTGTTTGAACAGTGAGCGACAGAATAACAACAACAAAATCCAGAAAAACGCATGTTAAAAATGTTATAAATTGATTTGCATTTTAATGAGGGAAATAAGTAATTGACCCCTCTGCAAAACATGACTTAGGACTTGGTGGCAAAACCCTTGTTGACAATCACAGAGGTCAGACGTTTCTTGTAGTTGGCCACCAGGTTTGCACACATCTCAGGAGGGATTTTGTCCCACTCCTCATTGCAGATCTTCTCCAAGTCATTAAGGTTTCGAGGCTGACGTTTGGCAACTCGAACCTTCAGCTCCCTCCACAAATTTTCTATGGGATTAAGGTCTGGAAACTGGCTAGGCCACTCCAGGACCTTAATGTGCTTCTTCTTGAGCCACTCCTTTGTTGCCTTGGCCGTGTGTTTTTGATCATTGTCATGCTGTAATACCCATCCACGACCCATTTTCAAATCCCTGGCTGAGGGAAGGAGGTTCTCACCAAAGATTTGACGGTACCCGGCCCCGTCCATTGTCCCTTTGATGCGGTGAAGTTGTCCTGTCCCCTTAGCAGAAAAACACCCCCAAAGCATAATGTTTCCACCTCCATGTTTGATGGTGGGGATGGTGTTCTTGGGGTCATAGGCAGCATTCCTCCTCCTCCAAACACGGCGAGTTGAGTTGATGCCAAAGAGCTCCATTTTGGTCTCATCTGACCACAACACTTTCACCCAGTTGTCCTCTAAATCATTCAGATGTTCATTGGCAAACTTCAGACGGGCATGTATATGTGCTTTCTTGAGCAGGGGGACCTTGTGGGCGCTGCAGGATTTCAGTCCTTCACGGCGTAGTGTGTTACCAATTGTTTTCTTGGTGACTATGGTCCCAGCTGCCTTGAGATCATTGACAAGATCCTCCCGTGTAGTTCTGGGCTGATTCCTCACCGTTCTCATGATCATTGCAACTCCACGAGGTGAGATCTTGCATGGAGCCCCAGGCCGAGGGAGATTGACAGTTATTTTGTGTTTCTTCCATTTGCGAATAATCGCACCAACTGTTGTCACCTTCTCACCAAGCTGCTTGATAATGGTCTTGTAGCCCATTACAGCCTTGTGTAGGTCTACAATATTGTCCCTGACATCCTTGGAGAGCTTTTTGGTCTTGGACATGGTGGAAAGTTTAGAATCTGATTGATTGATTGCTTCTGTGGACAGGTGTCTTTTATACAGGTAACAAACTGAGATTAGGAGCACTCCCTTTAAGAGTGTGCTCCTAATCTCAGCTCGTTACCTGTATAAAAGACACCTGGGAGCCAGAAATTTTTCTGATTGAGAGGGGGTCAAATACGTATTTCCCTCATTAAAATGCAAATCAATTTATAACATTTTTGACGTGCGTTTTTCTGGATATTTTTGTTGTTATTCTGTCTCTCACTGTTCAAATAAACCTACCATTAAAATTATAGACTGATCATTTCTTTGTCAGTGGGCAAACGTACAAAATCAGCAGGGGATAAAATACTTTCTTCCCTCACTGTATAGGTCTCTGAGTCTATAGGTCTGTATATGAGTTTATGGGTCTCGGAGTCTATGTGTCTCTTTGTTAGCTAAGTGTCTGCAAGTCTGTAGGTCTCCGTACGAGTCTATAGTTCTCTGCGTGAGTCTATGGGTCTCTGTTTGAGTCTGTAGGTCTCTACGTGAGTCTATGGGACTCTATGTGAGTCTATGGTTCTCTACGTGTGTCGTTGGGACTCTGTGAGTCTATGGGTCAGTATGTGAGTCTATGGGTCTCTATGCGAGTCTATGGGTCTCTATGCGAGTCTATAGGTCTCTATGCGAGTCTATGGGTCTCTATGTGAGTCTATATGTCTCTATGTGAGTCTATGGGTCTCTATGTGAGTCTTTGGGTCTCTATGTGAGTCTATGGGTCTCTATGTGAGTCTATGGGTCTCTATGCGAGTCTATGGGTCTCTCTGTGTGTCTATGGATCTCTATGTGAGTCTATAGGTCTCTATGTGAGTCTATGGGTCTCTATGTGAGTCTATGGGTCTCTCTGTGTGTCTATGGATCTCTATGTGAGTCTATGGGTCTCTGTTTGAGTCTATGGGTCTCTATGTGAGTCTATGGGTCTCTACGTGAGTCTATGGGTCTCTGTTTGAGTCTGTAGGTCTCTACGTGAGTCCTAGAGCTCCCTCTTGGAGAGTCGCCCTTCCGCCAGCAGTGCCGTGAGCAAGCAATTTCATCATTAAATCTCTTGACATTCAACAACGCGAGTTTAACACGTAGTAGGCTTTCACGACCAATATTAATCGTGACAAATCTCTCATTAATTGGCTGTATTGGGTGGTGGAGGGTTACAATGCATTAACACATACACGATCTAACCCAAAAACCTTCATTATGAACGATGCGAGTTCAGCGCCCCCATGAAGCTTGAAGAGCCGAATGCAGTTCAAAAGAACTCGGGCACAAACATCGCCACGTTGTGAAAGGCCCCACGCAGAAGATCCCCTGGGGTTTGATCTTCCACGAATCTGGCCACGGTCCCACCCCAAACAGCACGCACTGCGCAGATCCATGGCGGCAGCAGCAGCAGATGCGGATACCACACGATGCACA